TTTGTTGTACATTGCATTGGTATTTTGTATGACAGTGTTAAAGTTGAAGCTACAAAAAACGAGGTCATGAAATTACTGTATGCTTTATATAACCAACAAAAGGGATGGCAACGATCAAACAATGGACCGAGTGGAAGCGGAAATGGGGGTGATGAATCTAATGATGGAGTCACTTTGTTGGAGGACTTGAATGATGATGATGATTGGGATGATTGCAATTTTGATTTTGGGTACAAGAAATTGAAAACTACCAAAATGGATTTTTCTGGAAAAGATGAGGTACAACGATATCTAATGGAATCCACTGAAGATGCTAGTGATGAAAATTTTGACATTTTGAATTGGTGGAAGATCAATAAATCAAGATTTGAAATTTTATCTGAGGTTGCAAGGGATGTTCTTGCCATTCCTGTATCTACAGTTGCTTCTGAGTCAGCATTTAGTACTGGAGGGCGCATTCTTGATCCATTTAGGAGTTCTTTAACTCCTAAAACAGTTGATGCCTTGATTTGTACACAAAATTGGCTAAGGGAAGAATCTAGACTTTTGAAAGTTTCTCAAGATAGAGTTTGCATTGAAGAGACGGAGTTCTATGAGAGCATTGAGACAGGTAAAAATACACACACACACACACACTATTAAATCTTATTAGTTGAACAAATTTGAATCTATTTATGATTGTTAACAAGTTAATTGTGCTTTTTCAATTTTTTTCTTGCAAAGTTTCTTAATAGTGAGTATGACAAGTCAAGCAATTGATGGATAGTTGAAGTTTTAGTATGAGTATCTACTCATTCTACTCTTTGGTATTTGTAAATTAATGTTGTTGGACAACTTGTTATTTACATGTTATTAAATTTGACTATATTAATTTGTAAAACTATGATTGAATGTGTCATTAGTTGTATTTATATGGTATTTTTATAAATATTAAAAAATTTAATTATAGTACGGAACCAAATCGAATCGAACCGAACGGTTCCATAATTATATTTGGATTCGACGGTTCCATTTACTAGATACCCGAAAATTTCAGTTCGGTTCGGTTCTCTTTAGAACCGAACCGAACCGACCCGTGCCCACCCCTAATTGTATCTTACAATATTAAGAAATTGTCTATCTTTTTGTGTATGAATTGATGGAATTATAGATGTAATATGTGTATGAATTTTTGTAGGAGAGGCGTCTTAAATGTATTCTGCTTTTAGTTATTTGTAGGAGTTGAAAATTACATTCAAATTAGTTTACAAAATAGTTCTGATCGAATAAGGAAAGTTACCTTTTGTGTTCGCATATTTTTGTCTCTGCACAATAGTCAGTATGTTGATCATAATTTTCTCTCCCAATATTCGATTGAGATGATTCAAAATGAGTTGAAAAGCGAACTCAAATGGCTACAACTTTACTAGAAATAGAATTTTTTTCAATTCGAACATTTATTACGCCAAAAATAGGTCTCAATATTTGACTAAAAATTTGGAACATAACTTGGGGGTGATTGAAAATTGATTTGTGATAATATTTTGATCATATTCTATTCATTTTTTTACTTTTAATTGCATTCAATTGTCTCTTAGCAATCTTTAAAGTATCATCTTGTAGTCCGAATCAACTATTAGATATTTGCAATTTGACTCTCACACTTTGGACTTCGTCATTTTCACCTTTTTTTCGTTTCTTTCTTTCAATTTCATTTTCAGTCATCGAGTTTTGTATAATAAAATGAAATATACAATAAATTAGGCTATAATTACTTAAATATTATTTAAATGTCTATATTTTTACGTTTAAATAAGTGTTTAAAATACACTTATCAATGATGATTAGTTTGTATAATTAATTCATACTTGAAATATGAACATCGTCAAAATTACGACTTGGATATTTAATTTGGTTGAACGCTCTATTGGCGTACAATTGACAAAACATGAAACAACAAAGGAAATTTATACTATCTAATTTTGCAACTAAATTTCAATTGGAAACAAATATTCGGGCACTAAAACAGAAAAATACAAGTGTTTAAGAATTTTATTTTACAATGACTAATCTTTGGAATCAGCTGGCTCTGACAAAGAAGGTGAATTTTCAAGCTTACAAACCATATATTAAGCGCAGAAAGCCTCAATTATCTGATTCATTTTTTATGGCTCTACGATGATTTCGAAGAACTCCATGGGTCACTCCTACGCCGTAATTTAGTTACTTCCATTGATTTTGTTGTTAGTGAACTTTCCGAAGAGTAAATACAGGAAAAATTCTACATCTACTAGTACAATTTTGGTTGTCCCTCTTTGACTCCTCGAACACAATTAGACCAAATATAAAAGACATGTTTAGTACTTATTCTTATAATCAATTTTTTGACCGTTACAGAGAAAAATGAATCCCATTTGTGAGTAAAAGAAAGTCAAAAATGACAATTGACCATGTTAATTCACAGTCAACAAATTGATTTTTTCGCTTAAAAAATCTGAACAAAAATGTTACCAAAAGTAAAATATAAAATGAAAATTGTTGAACTTTTTTAACTTACAATTTATACCTAAATTTCTAAATAGAAAGTCCAAAACAGTTTCTTAGCAATTAATGATTCCACGTTTCATGAATTGTATAACGTCTGTATCAGGCAAATACGTATCTTTCCAGTACATTTGAGTCCCTGAAAAACAAAAGGATTACAATTCGACACCCAAACCTCGACATTTTTTTCAGTGATCTCTATTGGTATCAGAATATTTCCACTTAGTACCGTTTAATGTCATAAAAATTTTCGACAAAGTAAAATATAATAGGAAAAACTGAGGTTAAGGGGGAAGAAAATGAGATGGGACAATTCTATATTTGCTAAGTNAGAAATCATAAAGTGAAATTTCCCATTTCAAGGACGTAGTTAAGCATTTCAAATCTCGAGGATTCAATTTTTTGTTTAATAGCGCATAGCAAGTCTAGTTGCTTCATAGAATTCACCTTTTAACTTGGCAGTTATATTTCGATCATATAAAATCCCTCTAGTATTTTCCATCTCATCTAACCTACTCTACTCTACTCATTCCATTACATCCTCTTCAAATCTTTATAGGGTAATTGTGATTTAATAGCTATAGTAATCAATCGAACCTTATCAATATTAACATAATAAAGTCAATGGTTTTATGCAAATTTCCAAACAAAAGATTTCTCTAGACGACAGTAAGTAAAATCAGAAAAACATGGATGCAGAAAATGATGAAGAGCAAATAAGGTAAGAGATAGGAAAGTTCATTTCATCTTTGGGAAAAGAAGTATGTAATATATGTTAACAGAAAACATAAAGTTACAACAAAACTCTTTCAATTTGAAGCTAACCAACTGTTTATTAGAAACACAATATAAAAGGAAGAGTAATAAATACCATGTCTTTTGCTTCAGTTTCAAGAAATTCTGTCTTCACTCGGCTAGGCAGAGGCCTACTGTATGATCATAAAAAGCATACACGCAATCTGATATTAGAATTTATATTTTTAAAAACAAAAAGATAGAAGATAAAAGAGACTGAATGAACTAATGGCACCGTTGATCATCAATATCCATGTCTGATACAGGATCCCATCTTTCATCTTCGCCAACTTGATCTTCATCCGCCTGCACGAGAAGCATGTAAGTAAAACAGTTTTGCCTGCATTTTTTCATCAAGTCATATTCGATAATCAATCTGATAGCTAGAACAGACTAGATTTCAAGGTGCATTAGTCATGCATCTAATTTGGACCAAGAATGCAGTGGTAACAAGTAGGAAATTATCTTTCTTAATCTTTCACTATTTCAGTGATGCACCGTCCATGGATGCAGGTATAAAAATCTGTAGCTGCAGCTAGCAACCCACCCATCCCAATAAGATTCAGAGAAACATTAAGTGAGAGAACCCATGAGTAGCATAATATGTAGCCAAATATTTATTAATGCTTAAGTAGCAGAATTATGGCATTAAAGCCAGTAGTAGAAGAAGAAACTAGATTGTAGAAAATTATAGAATACCTTTCAATGCAGCAAATATTTACAAATGTGAACCGAGACAATAGGCAATGCAGTTCATAATTTCTCTTAACAAAGATGCATATTAAGTGCTTGTTTGGTACGGATTAAAAGTTAATTAAAATCAATTTTTTGACCATTACTATTCCAGCCGTCATTTTTTAATTTTTCTCTCACAGGTAGGGCCCACTTTATTTCTAATAGTCAAAAAATCAATTATCGAAATCCCTACCAAACAAACCATAAATCTTATTGAGATTAAGATTCCAAATCTTCTTCAGGAGAGAAGCAGGCACCTCTTGTACAATAAGCTGCAAAGAATGCACTTCACATGCAAGCAAAACTAGTAATTACTGTCAAGAAATAACCTTGCCTCTTTTGCTGTCTATCACTGCAGCAGTAAATGAAAACTTGGAGAGAAGTTTGAATGGTATAGGTCCCTTAACATTTCTAAAATCAACCCATCATATCAGCCAACTGGCTGATACTAATATATCTGACAAATTTGACTCTCAAAACTCAAGCCCAAGACTTACCATCAATGTTAATTACACTTCTTCATGCCAAAGCAAGAAGCCTCAGAATCTCTGGCCACGTTTCATGTTATTCTCCCCTTTCCGCGTTGCTCAACAGTTAACATGTCATTATTCATTATTGGATATGGACACACCATAATTATTGCTTTGGGTACAAACACTCATTTATTTTACTTCTATGCTTCAAAGGAGGACTAGTAATTTGCACTGGTCCTAGTATCATTAATACAGACCTCTGACTCAATGATCCTTACTTTTCAAAGGATATTTTAAGACTTCTGTTAATTCCTATGTTATGTTAGCAGTGGCACATTCGCTATTCAGTTAAGAAATAAAATCTAACAAGAGGAAGGAAAACTAATAACAAGAAAAAGTTAATGGATAAGATATAAAGAATAAAAATCATTAAACCAGTTGAATAAATTCAATATCTGGAAACAAAAAATATAACAAATCCAACATTTTATAGTGGTACAAAAGATATTATTTTTTGCTTGGGAGAAAAGATAAATGAAAGGGAGATCAAAAGCAGGTCAGGATTGTTGAAATGTGTAATTTAAACAGAAGTACACATACCCTCAGTTATCCAAGGAAAAAATAAAGATACAAAAAGAGGGACAGTGAGATCTTAGATGATAAAATTTAAGTATATTTTCTGATGAGAGCAAACCTCTTGAATATCTGTATCCGGTGGTCGTTCCTGGAACTGCACACTCGGTGCATGTTGAAGCTTTGAAAGATAATCAAGGAGCTTGGCTCTGATGTCTTCCAACAAATGCCAAGAATTCTTATTCTCCATGTTACTAGCAGCAACATGAAGAGTATAATCTGGACCAAAGTACTCGTAATATTCATGTTGTGGCATCTTATCATCAAGTTCAATTCCAAGTGCCACGCCCGTCTGTTAAATAAATAAACTGTTTAGCAAAAGTAAAAGAGAATGGAATCCCACAACAGAAAATAAATTGATAAAATCACACAGATGAAACTACGTTCTTGTTCACAGAAAACAAGGAGAGGATTAAATAATAATGGAAGGTGGTTCATTTTATTTTTTTTCCTATTGGTTTCTAGCGCGGATGGGAATTCCATTTTTTTTCCTGGATAAACAATAATTTGTTTCATTATTAGAATATGAATTTACTTTTATCAGAGACCCACTCAACTGTGTTGTTCAATAGTGAAATCCTGCCCTTGTACAAAGATCCCAATCCCAAGAAAGTAAATAGGAATACCGGCTTGGTCCATCTCCTCAGAGATTTCGGCCGTCATACTGGTATTATTCAGGGTAAGGCATCCTCCAAAAAAATAAGTGTGGAAAGAAAATCAGGAACACAAGGCCTTCCACCCAAGAATGGCTAAGGAGAAAGAAAAATCCTTGAACTCCTTAATCTATAGAAACCCAGGAAGACACTACAAAATTTCCCAATATCCCATAGCTCACTACCGCTTGCTCTCTCCTTCAAAAGTTCTGTAACAACTTTTTGATTAAAATCCAAATCAGCTAAACGAATCCTTTGTTATGAGTTCAAGAAACAGTCACATATGACCATTTTGTGCTAACAGAAATTCTAAATCGGGTTCTCCTCCTTCACTACTTTCTTTTAACAACAGCGAACAAAGGAGTCAGTTTTGTAGAAGTTGGAAACATTCATTCAGATGAATTTTTCCATTTTTTTAACTGGAAACTACTAAGTGTCACCATTTCTTGCTGACACCTACAGTCTTTTGGTGAACCCATAATGTACTGTAGAAAGTTCTCCAGACATCTGTGGAATGTTTTACGAGCTCTAGTAAAACAGTTTGGAAGCAAGCATGCTCACACAACAATATAACTTCAAAAGGCATATTATCATTGTATAAACATACTGCGATGATATCAAAATTTCTAACTAAGGTAAAGGAAAGATAAGCATAATTATTTGATGCCCTAGTCTAGTTGCATTGTAGTTGTTGTCATTATTTCTAATCTAGTCATTATAATCATGACTTTCGTCTACTCATATCAGAAGTTCGAAGATGTCCACAAAAGCACAAGTGAGATGACTATATTTTCTATCCTCTAGAATATCATACATACAAGTGTCAGAACTTGGAAGAAAAAAATATTTTATTAAATTAATATAACAGGCTAATTAAGCTTTACACCAATAAAAAATAATTAAATAAATTAAAAAGAACAATTTAAGAGTAATTAAATGGTCCAGTCATTGTGGTGCATAATTTCAAGTCTCTTAAGGGAATTTCTTTCCAAGTGACAAGGTGAGTGGAATATATCATAAATCGTCACGTGCCAATTGTCGACAACCTCAACATTAAGAGAAGAACATAAAAATCGTATGTCTCTGAGTCCAGGTCTCTTAGAAACTATCCAAGTGAGAATGCATCATAATCTGGGAACTTAAGACTATGTTGGAGTTAGATTTTGGTTCAAATTAAACTTTAGTCTGCATGCAGGGGCAGATCCAGCACCTGGCGAGCCGACAAGGCCGACCGTGCTTGATTCCGTCGAGAAAAATGTTAATGGAAGTTACTGTCTGAATGGAATGTAGCTCATATGGTAGAGGAGTTCCTTTTTGCATGTGAGAGGTATGAAGTTCAATTCCATGTGCTCCCATTTTTTGTTTAAATTTTTAATACAATAAATAATAACTAAATAATTATATATTATTAGTTTTCATTTTCAAAATAATTTCTTTAAAAAATTTATTGACTCAAATTATCATTTCATAATATATATACTTTTATTGTTATGTTTTTCAATATATTTTATGAAATTCAAATTTAGACAATTTAAGTGTTGCTTTTTATTATTTTAGAAGTTCGAAAAACATTTTCTTTTGAGATTTAAAATTATTCTTTTTATAAAAATCATTATTTTCAAAATTTTGTATAACCTTAACCTAAGCTCAGAGCTTATCTTTACCATTTAGTCATGCTTTATATATAAACTTCATATTATTTCGCTTAAGTTCGTAAAATAATTTGAAACTTGATCGTACATATATTATTGGAAAATGTATTTTTGTCTCATTGTTTTGGGCTGTGTTGGATTATATTTTAGACGTACATGACTTTTACGTTTTTAATGTATTTATTATTTGATTTAAAATTTTTTAAAATTATTTACTTAAATATTAATAAACAATCTTACTATTGCGCCGTCAAGAGTCAGCGGCGGTCCCAGCTGACTCAATATCCTAGATTCGCCACTTTATATGCATGGGTATGACTTAACTGAGTAGGCATGGGCCTACAGAAAACAAGCCATTCACATATGGACAAGTTATGATTGTGGCACGTTAATGATTAAACACACCATAGTTGTATTGCTTTATCAGCGTAAGAGTGAATGCATTAAATATATTTGTTATTCAACGCATCTTTGGAGTGATATATCCGAGTTTTATAAACTTGGACATCAAATGATATCCGAGTAATAATATGCCTTAGTCCCAAAAACGTTCAGATATGTATGAAGCATCTCACACTTGCACAACCATTTTTAGTGTCGTGAAGTTGAAGTACATGCACGACATCTATTTAATAACTAAAATCAACAGACATAGAACTTTTAAGTATATTAGAAGAGTTTAGTAGTTGCACATCGTAATCATCAAGAATATGCCTCTTACCTCATAACACCAGCAACGAGCAACATTACGAATTGTGTAGCCACCTCCACCAAGCAAGAGTAGTGGCACATTAAAAGATCTCATAAATTTGACACACTCTGCATGACCTTTAATTGACAAATTAAAGCAGCCCAATCGGTCTCCAGATAGAGAGTCTGCCCCACATTGTAAAACTACAGCACCAGGCTTAAAAATTTCCATCACTTTGCCCATTATTGGCTTAAACAAAGACTGATAGCTTTCATCATCAATTCCATCATCTAGTGGAACATTAAGGGAATAATATTTCCCCTTTCCATATCCAATATCTCGTACATCCCCTGTACCAGGAAAGTAATCTCCAAATTTATGAAAAGATACAGTCATCACCCTGTCTGTAGTATAAAATGCTTCCTCAACACCGTCCCCATGATGAATATCAATGTCCACGTATAAAACACGCTGCCCCAAAAAGGAAAAAAATAAATAAATAAAATAAAATCAATACAAAGATTGTAAAGTGTTGGTAATGATAGGATTTATATGCTGATAAGCTGAGAAAATAATGAAAATAACTCTTTACATGTATTAAGCAGCAACAAATGAGGATATGTAGAGCAATAACACTAGGACTTACATGGAAAACCCAGAATAGGAAAAACCATATGCTTCTGTGAGAATAATAGGAAGCTTGTTATCGTAATTCAAAACAAATTCCAAGTTTCCAGACTAGAAATGTACCGTGAAACATGAGAAAATTTAGACTCCTACCTTCAATAAATTTATATACAATTTGGACACTTTCGCAATAGACAGTCAATAAAAAACTACTACTGTTTACAGGTCCAAGAACATGCAGAAGTCTGGAATTATCAGTTAAATTGTTCCTGATCAAGTTTATGAAAAGAACACTATTTCTTGTTAAGGTATAATACTAAAAATGCATCAAGCATTTTGAACAAGTTTAGACTCAAACTTGAGATCCGATCACCTCCAGACCTATTTTTATCTTGTGCAGGAATTTCAGTTCTAATGGAAACTTATTTGTTCAGACTCATCCAATCTCAGAAGTGATTGCAGTTTGTCCAACTGCTTTTTTCCTCCGAACTGTGTCCTTTGAAACATATATATGACTTTTCTTTGGATACAACCCCTAATTTTGTACATGTTAACTTGTAATTAATTATGTCAGTAAAAATTTATGTTGAAAAATAAGAGATTATTTCCCCTACAAACTTCATTAAAGTGATTTCAGGAATTCGAACCCTGAATTCAGGGTAGTAAGACAATTCTGTATTGCTATAAAGCAGAACTTGAAGTCAACGCAAATTTACATCTAAGCAAGAAACTGAAAAACAGGCTCATAATCGATGATCATGCTTCTCATATATGTTCTCCATCGAATTTAACAATATTTGTGGGAGCCAAAAGATATCAACAAGGGATAAACAGAGACAACCAACCTCATGCACTTTGAGGAGCTCCAAAATTGCCAGCACTATATCATTCACATAGCAAAAACCAGAAGCCTCACATTTTTTAGCATGATGTAATCCACCAGCCCAATTGATTGCTATATCACAGTGTCCATGATTTAACTTCACTGCCCCACCAACAGACCCGCCGGCATAGGTTTGACAGAAAGGGTAAAGACCGTCAAACACTGGGCAGTCTTCCCCAACGTTAAATCTCTTCAGCTGCCTTAGCTGATCCTGCTGCGTTTCTGGGGTGATGCTCTTCAAGAAAGAAACATAATCATCAGCATGAAACCTGCAAAGATCTTTCTCTCTGGCAGGATTGGGCTTTAGAACATGCATATGTTGCAGTAATCCATAGTGGGCAAGAAGAGCATGTGTCATGCGAATTCTGTGTGGCTTCATTGGGTGACCTTGGCCATAGTAGTAATTGCCAACCTCTGGATCATAAAAATAACTCACTTTACGCTTCACTCCATCAGGTCCTGATGGTAAAGAATTACCTCCAGTTTCCATGGCCTAATTACCAAAATATACCGAAGCTAAAGCTACAGCAGAATTTGAAACTATCAGATGAGGAAGCTGATTCAGTTACAGTACTAGGGCAACTCAAAGCATTAGCAAAAGCGTAGCTGAATAAATTGAGAAAAGTAGTAACTTCAATATTGCAAAACCCCAAAAAAAGAATCAGATCGAATTGAGCATCCAGGCAATGAAGAGCAGAAATAATTTAATATAAAAACGAAAAAATTATTACGAGTTTTTATGGGGCAAGCCAGAAAAGGAAATCCTATTCTAAGCCTTTTGTTTTTCCGTATTGTAAGTCTATAACAGAACCTACAAAAACTTCAGACTAAATTTTCATGAACAGATAATTGTTCACCATAAAAGTAAAAGGGCTCCAGGCCGTATACTTGCAAGACCATTGCAAAAATCCCGAAATTCAAATTAATTAACATAATTTCGCCTAAAATTAAATCAAATGATACGTTTACCACTGACTTGACTATTCAGATGCTAAAAACGAATGATGTTGTAGGTATGGAAAGTACCTATCAATTGAAGTCAAGAAAACATGGTACCGCGAGTCTGGAATCGTCTTCTCTATGCTAGAATGGAGTCTAATACTGATTTTTATAGTTATACGAGGTTAATTGTCACTTTGGTCCCTCAAATTTGTAGGATTTGAAATTTTGACTCCTAAATTAAAATGGTATTTTAGAGGAATTG